TGACAGAGAACGGTTCAAGCGCATGGATAATGAAATTTTCCCCCCCGCGCTTCCTCAGCGGAGAGGCTAAAGGTCTGAGCTCATCCCACGACAAATGGATAAGGGACAAACTGAATTACCCAGCACACTGGACTCCTCTCAGTCATAATGGAGGGGGATGCACAAACTGAGGGGCTTGAACTTGGAAAGGGCACTTGCCCTCTTCGGAGCACATAGAACCGTGTTTAGATCATACAGCTTCTGAAGGCTGATGCTCTTCCCTAGCTTGAGTCTCTTCTTTATACAACAACAACAACAACAACAACAATAACAAAATGGCAAACCACAAAAGGAATAAGGACAAGTATTCATGAAGAGCTTTTTTTTTAAAAAAAAAATCTTCAAAATTATTAATTGCAGGAATAATCGCATCCCCAATAAAGAATGAGGCTGGGAGGGACATTTATCTGAGACAGCTCAAGCGCGAGGCCTGATGACTTCTCTCGGTCCCTTCCGGGTCTGGCTTTTAAGAGAGGCTTTAAGATACAGATCCCATGGGAACCTGTTACTTTTGAAATTGACAACTTGCTTCGCTGCTGCTCAAGGAGAGTTTTGCGTTCTGGTTACATCTGTGGAGGACCCTCCCTCTGCAGATGGCCAGGTGCTCCGCTCACAGCAGCTGCAGGGAGGGTGCCACTGCGTTGGGGTGGCTGGGAACACCAAGTCAGAGCTGGGAAGGGACTATCCAAGGCCACATGGTCCACTGTCTCAGGAGATCGACAGCAGATGCCCTGTGCTTCCAGCACGTTGCCAGGGGGCTTGGGGTGTGGCCTGCTAACACTCTCTTGCCTTCCAAGTCTCTGATTTACAAAAATGATTTGTTTTAATTAAGAAAATAAATACAGGGCAGAGGAGTTTAGAAGCAGGGGCACTTGTTTTGAAGGGAAGTGGCCAAACCAAATAAATAGCAACTTCTTTCAACTCCATCTTCAGGATCCTGTGATGGAGCCCAAACTCCTCACACCACGCTTAGCCTTGAATCCTGAACTGTACTGTTCACTTTTAGACTCCGTCAGTAAACAGAGATTCCAGGCTGTGCATGCCTCTCGGGCCTCCCAGCTGCCAGGAAGCCAGTTTCCCCACGGATGGAAGGCCTGGGACAGACCGTGGGAGCATCTGCTTTGGTGCCGAAGCCTGGTGACCAGGACTGCCTTTCCTGGGGACTCCAAAGTCCTCCTGTCCCTGGGGCAAGTTGCTTAGACTCCGTGAGCTACAATTCCACCTGGGAAAAGTCACCAAGTTCTGAAGCAATTAAGTCGCTGCATGAGGGTTTGTGGGGCCTCTTCTTAACATTTGTCCTTACATTAATGTGAGCTCGGCATATCTCGGCCACTTATGACTGGGTAATTCTGCAAAGCCACGGGCCCAAGGCTTATTCTACCTTATCTTTTCTATCCTCAACCTGGCCATCGGGGATTAGAACAACTTTTTTTTGTGTTGCTTTTTTTTTTTTTCCAAATAGGAAAGAATTCCCAGCAACACCATCCATAAGGGGAAGGTAACCAAAACGATACCAATAAGAGAGCTGCCTACACTGGCAAAATAAAGGGAAACTAAAGGGGACAGCGGTCTTTGTCGGGTTTAGAATCTCAGAGGAGGGAAGGACTGTGACCGCACACTGGTGACTCTGAGCTGTTCCCACTCTTCTCCGTGCACCTTTCTTGGTGTGTAGGTGCATACTTGCACCTGTAATTATACACACGTGCACACGCACACACGAAATTTCTTACAACTGTGTTGACAACGCCATGCTTGTTTCTGGGGTGCTATGCACGCAGCTGGGAAAAGGAAAGGCAGTAGTTTCTGCTGTGGTTTCTGACAGGACAGACGTATGTAAAGTAATTTGTGTAATCTGAGGGAGCACATGGGTTGGTTGTGAGCTCTAACGGGTAGAGGAGCTCTCGGCTCTGTGGCTACATCATAAATATGCATAAGGAGGGCCTGCCTATATGAAAATCATGGGTTCCATATTTACGGCATGTGGAACTGGGTGAGGACTGGGGGATGTGTGGTGTGTGTGGTCTGTGTAAGCAGGCTGCATTTTGCCAGGAAGGCGCTCATGAACCACCCACACCGTGGATCAGGCTTTGCACGGGGAGCCTCGTGAATACCTGTTGAACACAGAGAGACTACAGAGAAAATGCTCACTGAGCAGGAAGGCTGGAAAGGAGTTCTTAGTCTTCCTCACTTGCCAGCAGGAAGAAGAAAACCACCCACACACAGGCTTCGACCTTGCCTTGTCCAGTCAGGGTGAAAATCGCAGTGACATACATAGCCCAGCCATCCCCACCACCTCGAGTGCTCATTAATCTTGTTTTTCTCTAGTTTCTCCAGTTCCCCGGTCTTTGATATGCTGCATTGGTGTTGACAGTGGTCAGGGAAATGAAACTGAGTTTCCAAATTTGTGCTCCAAGTGTCACAACACCCTCTCCGCTTCCTCTGTCCTGAGAAGGAAGGTGTTTTCCAGCTCTTTCTCTGCACGCTGCAGCTGCCTTCTCTGTCCTGTTTTTTCCTTAAGTCCTACTGTCTGAGTTTCACTTTCAAGCCCACCACGGAACACCAGAGAGCCTGGCACAGTGCCCAGCATCCAGAAACCACAAAGAGAAACTCGGTGGTAGGACCAGCGGTGGAGGGAGCTCCGCCCTGCAGCCTCGCTGCTCTCATGTCCCCTCCTTCCTCCTGCCTCTCTGTCATGCCATCAAATCAAACTGCGGCAGACTTGACAAATCTATTTGGCGCGGTTCACTCAACTATTTCAACCCCAGCAGCCCAGGGAACTGCACGTTAAACACAGCTATCTGGGGGAGGCCTGTTAAGAAGAGGCTGTGGAGAGCATCCTTGCCGGGGAGGAGGAGGAGAAGGCCTCCCGGCCTCCCACCACATGCTCAATGGGGTGAGGGAACTGAGGACAGAGGCAAAGCCTAATTGGCAGACAGAGTACGTATTTCTAATGGAAAGAGAAAGGGCTTTTCCTCGGTCCCATCTCCTTTTATGTGGGCCAAACTGAGCCTCTAACACAAAGCCCCAAACCAGACCCTCCAGTTACCCACCGCCTAGTGGAGAGAGGAATTTCGCCAAAGGTGGGAAGAAGATGCAGAAGACAGTGAGAAGGTCTTCAACCTGGGAACACTGAAAAGGATGAGTCTGAAGACTAGGGCACTCAATGCAGGCTCAGGGAGATCTTCCCTGCAAAACTGAATAGCAGGGATAAAGCCGGGAGGATGGCGTCCTTTCAAAATGTGCAGCGCTAAGGTATTTCCAAAAGCAGATTTCCTACAAATGGTGTTTTAAATAGCATCCCGGTCCATCTGTGTGCTTTTAAAATCAGCTTATGCTACAGCATCCCTCTGGCCAGCGCTGCTTAGTCATTGAACCTGGACAAGGAGCCCGTCAGGGAGCCTCGTGCCTCTCCCCAAGACCCATTCCTACCTGGCAGCTGGCCCTCACCTGCCAGCTGAATTCCCAGGGTTAGCACTTTCTTACTGAAAATGTGGGCGGAGAAAGAAAAAGTGGGTGGAAAAGGAATGGGGTGAGATGAGGACTCAGCTCTGGGAGTTCCTCTGGCCTCCAGCGCTGATTCAGTCACTACTTCTGACTCGTATCTGGCCTTTCCGAGCTATAGCAATGGAAAAGCTAGCTAGACCTAGCTCACAGGTAAAGGCGAGGGTGTCTTTCCAGTGCTAAATATTTCACTTTCTTTTTTGGTCACATGAAGCAATGCATGTTTGTATATGAGAAAGATAACTGGTAATATCTAGAAACCATATTTTCACATGAATGGTGCCATGTTACTATGGCGATTTTTGATTTAAAAAAAAAAAGACAACAAAAACTACTCCTTTAAAAACTCATGTGTCTTATGCCAGATTGCCAACATCACAGGGCAGAATTTTCTGGGTCCAAGGATTCTAGTATGTGTATGTTAGAGAGCATGATGCCCTGGGACAGTGACAGAGACCAGAGATGGCCTTTTGGAAATATTCTTTGGTCACAGCTGCTTTGTTCTGATCATTTATATCTTTGCAGTCCAGAACCTGCTGGGACTGTAGCAAAGGATGAGAGGCAAACCTATTTTTCATCACTTTTGATTCCCTTCCATGGGAGGGTCAGCAGCCTCTTGGACTGCCCAGTATGCCTCCCTCACCTGCCTAATCTGAGCGTCAACCTGCCTGCAGGGATCACCTTGAGCTTGCTTCCAGTAACAGAAGCTCCTGTCCCCACTCAGGTGAAAACAGAGCATTTCCACTGAGGCCTCCATACGCCAAATGTAGCTCACTGGCAGCTGCAGAAACAGAATGCCATGCGTTTTAAGAGTGCTGAGTGCCAGACACCCATCCTTGGGCACAACAAAAGCCTCCTATTGGCCACATGGACCACATGCCTGGGAGCTACAGACGATGAAGGGACCGGCCGAGAGGGTTCAATGCCTCCCCACTAATCACGATTGCCTGTTCAGATCCTAACCCCCGACAAATGGGATTTCTCCTCATTATTTATTGTCCTGGATCTTCTTAGGGACATTGTGACTCCCTCTTTGGGTTTTGTGTCTTTTCATTCCCAGACCTCAGTAACTCCTGAACTGCTGTTTCATGCAGTTTGGTGATTGTTAACCCAGCATGGGGAGGAGACTCAGGCCGTAAACGCTCACTGAGTCCTGTGTAGTGTGGGGAGGCATTTTCTCCTTCATTGGCAGTTAGATAACATTCTATAAGTCCCCCTCCCCGCTCGTTCTCTGCTATGCAAAATGCCACAGCGGCCCGGGGCTGCCATAGTTTTCCAATCACTTCAGCATAAAAAAGTAACATTTCAGGGCCAATGTATCCGTCTAATCACTTCAGCATAAAAAAGTAACATTTCAGGGCCAATGTATCCTTTGCCTCCATCGGCTCTGTGAGTCTCTTCCCCATCATGGGATCAGTCAGAAGCTCCTCGGAGACCCACTCCTGGGGAGGCCGACCTACCTTGTGGTTTTTGCCATGCCGGTAGACCATCCAGTCCTCCCCGTTCGTGCTGACCTCCAGCTTGTACGTCTTGACGTAGTAGCCTTTTTGGGTCTCCCTGGAAATGGCTCCCTGTGTGGCAATGGCCGTGAGCACGGTGAGGAAGCGCAGGTCCACCTGGGAAGAGAAGTCAGAAAGTAAGGGGACCCCGACTCCCAGCAACATCTGGCTTTTCCTGCAAACGATACAGTTGCCATTCCAAGCTCACAAAGCCAGCCTGTGTTTGTACTTCGACTGGACAATTAAAGTCAACTGACTTCTTACGAGGATAGACATTTTTCCTTGAAAAATGGAACTTGATTTTTTTTTTTAGTTTTATCCTTCCACTTGCAAATCTGAATGGATAATATTCAGTTTCTTCTGACTATTGAATACTAGACTTATGACCCCCTCATTAACCTACCATCTGCTTCAGACCTCGAAAGCAGAACGGTCCTAAAGGAACACTGAAATCTACTCTACTCCAATGCAATCCACTGTAATTCTCCAGAAGTGACAATCCATAGCTGTCTTCTCTCCCTTGATTCCCACACTCCATTGTATCTATAATCACTCAGGTCACCAAGGGGTCAAAGGGCACGCAGAGTCTGCCCAAGTAATTAGGCTTATGCACCAAGTCCTGACCTTTCACTCCGTGAGATGGCCAACACTTTGAGGTACCTCCCCTCTGACCATGCCTAAACCATTTGGAAATTACTGGATGTTGCTCCTTTGCTGGCTACGGTCTTTTTAAAGGGCAGTCTCCATGTGCGTTCGTGTGCGTGAACTGATGAAAGCCAATTTAGTAAGCACTTATTGGCTAGTCAACGTGTGCGTGGAATCATGAAACATTCGAGAGAATGCACAGCAACTTCTATGTAGACAAGAAAAGGTAGATAGCTATAATGAAAAAATAGACTATTGAGGGGTGAAAACGGGAGTATAGTATATAGACTGTCACAACAAAGAACTTTCTAGAAGCTTTGCAAGATGAAAGGGTTTTTTTGAGAGGCAGAGGGGAGAGACAGTGACAAATGGCCCGAGAGCTGTGTTGTTAGAGCCTCTGTGGCTCCCTGGAGTTTCTAAGTGGTCTCTCTCCCTTCCCTGCTGTCTGCACTGCAGTATCTGTCTTAGAGCAGAGGTCACCATGTCGCCTCAGAGCTGGGACAGGCTTGTCAGTGGGTCACAAGGCTGTCTCTGTGTGTCATAAAAGCAGACGTTGCTCTGGTACAGAACTGGCGGTTTGTCCTCCCCCTGTTTACTTCTTCCCAGGGGACCAGAGCTGGACCTGTGTGCAGTGCAGGAAGATTACTCAACATGAGCTACAAGACTTGCTCAGGAAGACAGCAAACAATAGTCTGCAAGACGCTGCCGAGCATCTGGGGAACGAGTTTCGTTCCCCATGGTGACATTTTCCCATGTGTTCTCTGATAGCTATGTGCAAAACCTTCCTGGCAGGCTCCCTCCAGATAGCAAAGATCAGAAGAAGTTGCCATATTCAGCTAGCGCCCAACAAACCTGCCTTCAGAAAAACGCTCTCCCCACGTCTCTGATGCCTCCCTGTGCCAAGAATGAGGAAGAGCTGGAACTATTTATAGAACGTTCCTTTGATACTGATAGGCCAAACAGTATCATGGCCAAACAACTCTCCCCAGGCCCACTAATCCGCATAAGGGCAAGGGCAAGCGGTCCTCTTACTCATCAGTTTATCCCAGCACACAGCACAATGTTTGGCAAAGCACAGGGCCTTTTGGATAGATGAATGGATGGATGGATGGATGGATGGATGGATGGATGGATGGATGGTTGGATGCAATTCTTACCCATTCTGTGCTTATTTTTTAGCATCCTCTTTTGATTCTAGCTGAGGGGCCACATCACCGTCCCATCAACACACACATCACATTCTCTCTCTATTCTCTCTCTCTCCTCCAACACACACACACACCACACACACACACACACACACACACACACACACACACACACACACACACACACATACACACCTGGAGGTACTCCTTGTTGGAATCCAAGTTAGGGGTCCAGCCATTGTCATCACCATGGAGCCGGCTCTGTTGAGGGGTCCACCTCCCATCAGAGAAGGTGGATGAGGCACTGATCTGCTCGTTAGCAATCCGGCCGGACTCCATTCCCAGAGGGACGTTGCACTGGAAGTCTGGGGAGTGGAGATTGGTCAAGGGCAGAGTTAGGCATCTTAACCTCCAAGTGCTGGGCCCCCCCCAGACACTGTCTCCTTCCAGGGACAAGCCCTTGCAGGCACTCCCTCATCCCGAATCTAATTATATGCTCACATTTGAAAAAAACAACTAAACCAAGCCACATAGTTAACAACCCCTCTGGGTCTTCAAGGAACTAAATTGGACCTAAAAGAAATTAGGCGATAGATAAATAAGAATCATCATATAAATTAAAAATACCATCTAAAGCGCAAGTGCTGCGGGCTATGGATGCTCTCAGGTGCCAGATGCACCAGCCATGCATGTGGTACAGGTGAACATGACAATTTGGGTGGGCTCAGCCGTCGTGGGAAGCCTGCACACACCCAGGAGGCACTTTTGCATGTCTCTCTTTCACCCGAGTGTTTCCTAATTTCTGGCACAGAAGACAGACGCTACGAAGTATAAACACCCATCTTTAGGAAACTTCCCTGTGAGCACACGCATGCCCCATTGTGTTCCCCGACAGCACTTGTCTGGACTAACATCCCGGAGGAGTCTCCGACTCGGCTCTTCTGCCATGAGCAAAATTGCGGTCCTTCACCTGGATGCTGTGGACACTGATCAATGCTTGCGCAGGCACGTGTTCCATAAAAACGGGCTACCTTTCTGAGGTATCAAATCTATTCTTTACCTCCGTGACTACACTGGCCATTTGCTGGACGAGCTACAGCTTGCTACACTGTTTATCAATGCAACCTTCCAGAACTCGGATGAAAAAAAAAATGGCGACAGAACCGAGCCGAACCCGTTCATTTTCAGGCAGGCCAGGCTGCTGAATCTATAGTTGCCTAGGTGGAAAGCTGTCTGTAACAGTGGCAGGAGTTCCTCAACCCTCATCATCTCAGAGCGCTTCTTCCTTCAGGAGATCATTTGGATCTCTAAGCAGCCATGACAGTGTATCTGAAGCACAGGGCCAGCAGCAGATGGTTTGAAAATGGGCCTCAGGATGGGAGACCAGTGGCTTGGGTGGCAGGTTCCACAACAGCCAGGCCCACCGCAGCACCTTGCAATGCTACCCACGGCGCCTAGCACTCAGTAGAAGTTCCTCAAAACTTGTATTTCTTGCACGTGTGACGTGGAAGTCCAAGGGATGGCATTGTCTAGCCAGGGAATCTCTAGTGGGAGCTACAGAACTTGAATGTCAAGATAGATACATAGGGCTGTTTTGGGACAATGGCTTTTGGGGTCTGGAGATGAAGGAACTGATGCAGTTCCGGAAAGGGTCAGACCCCGTGTGCATCACTCTGCCGCCATCCTAACAACCCTTTTCATCCATAGATGAGGGGATGGAGGCTTGAGATGGTTCACGGCTTTCTCTGGGAACAACACACACTTGTTTGTTTGCTTGGTTTTTTGTTTGTTTGTTTTTAATTAATTAATTTATTTTATTTTATTAATGCTGAATGCCGTTTATTGAAGGAGGGAGGAGGTCTTAAATACAGGCTTACAGCACAATGGGAGAACCCCGGAGGGCAGAAGTTCGCTACACATGTTTTACAATCTTGCATCTAAGCTGTTAATGCCCAATATGCAGGATACACAAACAAGGAACTTCCCTTAAGCATTCAGGAGGGTGGAACCTGGCAGGGAATTAGCATAGGGAGGATGTCAAGGTCAGCAAGCATGGAAAACAGTTACCCAAAACGGGGCTAGGGCCCTACAGGTCCCCCTTTTACTGAAAAATGAGCTTCTGACTTAGGTTGTGTGGGACATCACTGATTTTTATATAAGGAAATGAGCACCCAGATGGACACTGTCTTTTTCTCCTTCATCTTTGCTGGGATAGAAGGCGTGGCTCTCCTTCCTGGAACTCAGATACCACCACGAAGTCTGCAGCATTCCCGTCTACTGTTTTCACAGGAGTCAGCCCTTCACCTGTACCCACTCATGCCCCCCAATGAGAAGACAAGACAGAGATTCCAAATGGCCAACTCACTCTCAGGAGGCTCTTGGTGGACCAGGTAGTAACGTGCGGAGAAGCCGTCCTTGGCCACTGCCATGTCCGTGTGAAAGGTCAGGGAGAGGATCCCCGTGGATGAGCGGAGCTTGGAGGGTGTTTTGGTCCCACAGTACTTGCCAATCAGAGGGCCAACTAGATGCAGGAGACAAAGAGCAGACAGAGGAAGTGAGAATGTAAAACTGGTTCTCAATGCTCTCTCCTGTCCCACCACTACGAACCTAACTGCCAATACCATGATATAAAAACCAAAGCTGTGCTTCGAGAATAATGTCTGATATTTCCCCTGCACATTCAACAGTGCTTTCCCTGCGCTGGCTACGTTCTGTTGTCCCATCTCTGAGAGACGGGCCAGAAGATATCGTTACCGTTCCTGCTCTACAGAGGAAGAAATTGAGTTTCAGAGGGTCAGGTGACATTTCCCAGTTCATATTGCAGAAATAGCAGAGCTGGGACCCATACCCTGCTTGTCTTCCTAAATCTTATGCTTTTCCCAAGATGAAATTGCTCCTGCATAGCTACCAAGTATCCTTTATATTAGAAAACACCGAGAACAACCACAGAGATGAACAACTTGTTTCCTTTCCAATACTGATTACACCTACGATCTGTGTGGTCTTCACCCAATCTATACAGGCTCCTCTTGGCTGTGAATGATTGCCTTTTCCACATCCACAACCATATTAATAGTAATGAAATAATGGTTCTCATGATAATAGCGATGATAGATCATTTCAAAGCCAAGATACTGAGAGGCTGCATACCTTGCTAGGATTGTACAGCAGAGAGATTCAAGTCTAGTCAGTCTGGCTGCTATGTGGTCACAGCATTTGACTATTGATTCATTTCTATCCCAATAGCTTGGTGTGGAAAGGAACATGACCCAGAGTTTTGCCACCTCTGATGGTTAATCTCAGTTGTCAACTTGATAAAATCTGGAATCACCTTAGAGATAGGCCTCTAGATATATCTGGGGGGATTACCTTAATTCGGTTAATTGAAGTGGAAAGACCTGTCTACTTTGGATGCTACCATTCCCTGGGCTAGGATCCTGAACTTTATAAAAAGGAGAAACGGAACAGAGCAGAAGCATTCACTCACCGTGTGGAATGCCATCCCAGATGTCCAGCCAGTCATATTTGCAGTCTCCTTCCCCCACTTGTAGGGGGTCATGCTCCAGGTCAAAGGTCAGGAACTGCAGGATGATCTCCATCCTGGGTTTGGCCAGGATGGTGAAGGTGCAGTCCAGATTGTGTGGATACTTCTCTGGAAACCCGGGAGATTCAATGGTCCCATTGGGGCTTGTGAAGTTCTTGGAACAATCTTCAGAGCCTGTGTACCAGAGAGAGGGGTGGGGAGGGGGTAGGGAGGGGTAAGAGACGTAGCACTAAGGAGCAGCTTTTCTCTGCTGCCTCCTCTGCCTCTGGGTTATTTAAATGTTTGGGTCCATATCCCCCTACTCACAAGGTTTTTGTTATTGCTCAAGTGGCCCTTGGAGCAACACACCCTTCCCATCTATGTTTCAAGCCCTCAAGCCAGCCCCCTTTTTGGACAGAAATTAGGGAGACGAGGCTGATTGCTTTGTATATCAGAATAAGACCAGCAATTGAGGAATTGGAGGGTAAGAGGTAGAGGAGAGAGAGAGAGAGAGAGAGAGAGAGAGAGAGAGAGAGAGAGAGAGAGAGAGAGAGAGACAGAGTCTTCTTTCTCAATTACTCAGCTGCTCACTCCAGAAATGTAAGTTATTTCAATCCTTAAGGAAGACTTGCTGGTTGCCAGCAGGGAAAACAATGTTATCCCTTATTTATTGCTGACCTCAACACTAGCCTCTATTGTACCCAAGCCAGCTAAGTGCCCCTTCTCCCTCCAAGATCCAAGGTGCCTCAGGGGAGGGGCAAAGGGGAGCCCAAGCCTCATTCATGTCCTGACTGTATTAAAACGGGCTGCTCTGTAGTGGTGGGACAATTAACAATTGAGGTTTTTAGCCGGGTGGATCACAGCGGGGCGTTGGGATGTTAAAGGCCGCTTGGGCGGCGAGTTTGGAAAAATGCAGCAGTGTATTGACATTTGGAAGGCCTCTGGTGCCTTTGTGGTGGGGATGGCCTTGTGTTTCTCTCCTAAGCTCTTGGGTTAGCGTTCTGGGGAATGTGTCCTGATGAAACGTGACACACATTCTCAGCCTGCTGCGAGCTTGGCCTGCAGCAGGAGCCCTAAGAGGATTACAGCCCCCACACCTCCTGATGCCTCTAGGTGGAGTCCTGTTAGAAGGGCCTTGTCCTTTAAACCAGGAACGGTTCCTCTGGGCAGAGCCAGGAAAGGAGCCTGGAAGCAGAGTCCCAGCATATACAGAGAGAGCAAGAATGAATACAAGTTAACGACAGGGATGTAAACGCTGGTAATTACAATAGGTTTCACTCACTGCATTTGGATTTTAAAATAAGAAAAGGAAGCAGGATTTATGAAGGGGATAACAGACACTCTAAGCATGAAGGAAAAAACAACAGCAACACAGAAATACTCAATAAACCAGGTGTTTACTGGCAGGAAGTGTCCTCTGGGGATCACACTGAAATATAACTATGGGATGTCAATATGCCGATCTTAGCCAGCAGCGATGTCTTTATCTGCAGCTCCTTGTAGCAGGGCCCTCTGCAAGTCTCCTTATTGACAGTGACTTTCTGGAAAGCGGCAAATATCTGCCTTGGAAAAGGTACCATGCAAATAAGTATATGTGTATTTGGGGTAGGCTTGCAACTTTCCGTAGCTCAGGCAGCAAAGGGAGTTCCCAGAATCCCCACCTATCCGTCGGATCCCTTCTCTCTGCTTACAGTGCTGCCCGTTGGGTTGTGGGTAGAATGAGGACCAGGAGCAAGAGCAAACCTTCCTGGCTTATTTGGAGCTCTGGGTGCTACACCTCAGAGGCTCGCAAGTCATTCATGGATATAGCAGCAGCCGGGAAGGGCCAGAGCTGCCAAAGGGCAGTTAGGTTGGATGGGATGAGCTGGGGGTGGCCTCCCCACCCCTCCCCAGCCTTGTTTATCATCAGGCCTCCAACTCCTGAGGGCTTCCTCAGTGGCCTGGGGTGATGCAATTTGGGAAAGCCAGGCCAGCTGGCTGGTCTTCAGGGGGCCAAGAAGAATTCTGAAAAGGTTAGAGTTTAAGGATGTTGAGCAGACTTCTTCATGGGGGCACTTAGGGAGCCTCACACAGTGCTGGATGGAAATTAACTCTCTTTTGACAACTGACTGGAGAGTTATCGGAGGCCTCTGGAGAGTCCCTTCCTAGAGTTGGCTCTATTGTTACTCATTTAGAAGGGACTCTGCACCACCCTGGGAGTGGGGAATTTATGGGGGAATCTTTGATCCTTCTCACCCATGGGGGACAAGTGTTTCAACAATGGACATTCAGAGCCCAATATGGGCTCTGGAGAATGTGAGATTCTAAACCCTTTAGTGAAGATCCCCAGGTCGGTCTTGCATGTAACTGGAAGGAATTTTTCAGCCTTAAGTACTTAAGGCCAAACAAACAACCCCCCTCCCCCACTTTAAAAAAAACCTAACAAAACAAAGCAAAAACAAACAAAAAAGAAACCAGTGCATGTCTGATAAATGGTTAGAAATGGATACATTCTCTGGCTTCTTTTGAAGGAGGTGAGAAAACATTTCTGTTTTATCCTTTGCAAGTAGAAAAATCAGGCATCTATTAAAAATGATATATTTGGCTGGGTGGTGGTGGTGGTGGTGGTGGTGGTGGTGGTGGTGGTGGTGGCGCAGCGGCGGCGGTGGCAGCACTCGCCTTTAATCCCAGCTCTCAGGAGGCAGAGCCAGGTGGATCTCTGTGAGTTCGAGGCCAGCCTGGTCTACAGAGCGAGATCCAGGACAGGCAACAAAACTACACAGAGAAACCCTGTCTCGAAAAACAAAACAAAACAAACAAAAACAAAAAAAATGACACATTTGTCTGCAGTACTACCATGGCCAAAATCACCAGAATGGCAACTGAATAAAAAGATCTGGAAATGGACACAAAACTTGAGTCTTCCAGAAATTTGATTAATCCACAATCCTTTTCTGCATCATGTTAAAAGGATAAAAATAATTTAAATACCCAGCTGACAAACATTCATATCAATTCAATGTTGAGATTACTCATACAAGCTGGAGGTTTGGGAGAGTGTGGTGGCTCATATCTGTCATCCAAACACTGTAATCCTAGGTGACTGAGGCAGGAGGACTACCATGAGTTCCAGGCAAGCCTGCTACATATTGAATTCTAGGACAGCTTGGGCTACAGAGTGAGACTCTGTCTCATAAAACAGCAAAACAACACAAAACTGAAGTTGGGGGTCTGGACTGTACTGAATGATTCCATCCCAAAGGGCTTTGGCGTGCAGGACGCCCACCCCAGGTCTCTGCTCAGACTTCGGCCTGCGGATGCCAACTCCACGTCTCTGTAATGTCTAGTCTACCGCCTGCAAGTTGAAGAGGAGCCTACACGTACCAAGATACGAAAATGCAATGGCCTTATCCGAAGTTAAGCTTCACTTGACCACAGGCGGGGAATTCAGGCCTTTATGTAGGGGCTTGGAGCAGCGGGCATTGCAGGTTTCCTCTACTGTGAACAAGCCCTACAATTTTACTACCAGAAATGCCACTGAGTAATGGACACCGGAGAGAACTCTGGATCCTGAATTTCTGCTAAAAGAACTTCAGAAAAACAACAACAACAACAAACTGATTCCTACTGCTTCTGCTTCCCACGCCCCCTTTCAAGTTCTTGTAAGATTTTTCTTTCCTTATTCGGTGCTGGATTTGGTGACTTCCGGTTGTTTAGGTTTGCGACTTTTTTTCTGGCTTGCCCTTTTCCAGGTGAGGCAGTGTGGTGACCTAAACAACCTTTTATCCTTCATTTAGGGCAGCTATGACCTTCCTCTCCTGCCGTATGCTCTGTTTGTCCCAGCCTTGTGGGGTGCGTGTGCCTCAGAATAACTCCGCTGCGGAGCCTGGAGAAAGCCAAGCTTCCAGAGCCTTCTGTATGGCTGCTAGCATATCTGTGTTTACAGTTTCCCCCTCTTTTCTCTTTATGCATCTGACTGGCAAACATAGCGCTGTTTGTTTGGATTTCTTCAGCATGGCCACCCATTTCTTTCATGTTCTGTGGATGATGTAAACTGTGTGCTTTTTCCCAGGACAGCGACCGTGGAAATAAGGACCTAAGACAAGGATGGATACCTTCTCTAAACGTCTCTAAACTTTTGCTCCCTTGTGAAACCCTGTGTTTTATAGTTATAAGACTGGCTTTCATACCAATAGCTACTCTTCCTGATGGGCCTGACAGGCCTGAGGAGGCTCCTGGGCATTCGTCTTTTGCACACTCCCAGCCATGTGGTTTGGGGCAGGGCTGTCACTCACTACAGCATCCCTTTCAGTGGCCATCCCAGTCCTTAGAGTGGGCCGCCCATTGCTCCAGGCTCAAGCCACAGACCTTTCCTGACTGGCATTATTGTTTAAAGCTCTTCACAGACTTGCTGCCTTATTTAAAATTCTCCTTCTGCATGTCATCAAAACAGCAGGCTGAATCACGATCCCCTCATGTGTTTTATCTCTTAATGCCCTCCTTTCAAATTTGTGTGATGGATGGAGTGAACATTCTCCGTTTCTGTGGCTTTCTGGAGAGCATGGCGTTGTGCTTTACGAAACACTGAGATAAGAGCCATGAGACCAGAGATAAGCTTAACGGCCTTGCTCACTCTTGTTCTGACTTCTCTTGGCCAGGTCCCTGGAAGGTCTTGCACGAGCTGATTCCCTTCTGAGGTTGAGGTAGTAGAACTAAGTGATGGGTCCAGCACTAGGGAATGTTTTCTGTTAGGTCACAGAGTTCCTCAATTGCATTTCCAGAGGAGTAACAAGTGACCTGTGCCTTCATGGAACACTTGCTTATAGTATAATTTTCCTTTTAATGTCACCAATAATACTGAGGGTGCCTCTGTGCAATGAGGATTTGTCTACCTGTCTCTCCCACAAGTCAAGGACAAGAAATCCTGCCTTATTCCTTCTTTCTATAACACTCAGTAGAGAGTGCTCCTTGGAGTTGGTACATTGGTCTGTGTCTTGTACTGGGACTCAAAGGGCTGTGGATCCAGCTACGCAGGGGGCTTACACCAGCCCCCAGCCCAGGACACACAGATCAGTTTCTGAGACCTTCTTGTGGCCAGAAACATGAAAATAAATGCATGGCAGATAGGCCATCACAGGCCATAGCTTAGGGTCCCCACTCTGGCACAGTACAGTTCTGCTAACCACACCCCTTCATTTGATTCTGTCTTCGAAGGCAGACAAGTCCAACAAATATTTAGACAGAGTGGATATAAAAAGTGCTTTCAACAGGCACTACTTCCTTCCAAGAACTGTTTAATGAAAAAAGAGAAAGAAAAAAAAAACATATGAATAGTTCCCGTTGCGTTGAACTTAATAGGCGCCAGACTTTGGTTTCTCAACGACAGGGTGACATCTTCACCTGGAATCAGATTTCATGTAGGAGTTACAGAAATTGGACTCCTAAAGAAAGAAAACACTCAAAGATGGGGGCAGAACTTCTGAGGTAAGGAGTGGGCAAGGTGAGGGAGAACGGAGGGCACTCCTTCCTCAGCCACAGGGATAGCTGACGTGAGACAGAAGGACGTGCCGCCAGGAGCGGAGACGTGTGGACGCAATGCAGCGTCTTCAGATGCCCACTGGCCTACCGAGCCTCAGAAGTCAGTACTGCCCATAAAGACCTAATGAGATGCATGGGTTCCAGCAGTCAACTCGAAGAAGTGTTATCTTTTCTGTACACACCCCGCCCCCCATTTCTACTATCTTTCATTAGCTTTTCAGGGCGTCCGATTCCCTGGCATATGGGAACTAGGAGTTCAGTGTAGAGGGGTGGTAAAATGGATGGCCGAGGGGAATGTCTGGGAGTCATAATTTAATTTAAAAGCAATGACTGACCCCATTCTGGGGGTCGTGGTGAGATCTTTAGAAACCCCAAACAATGAAAAGATTATGTCCTCCAGCCCCATGTAATTCCAAATAAAGACAATATTAAACCATGAAGGAGTTGGGATAAAGTTCAACCAAGTTCAACCATGAAGAACAGCTTGATTTTAAAAACACAAAAATCCAATTCTTTCAAGGGATGTTCTTGTATTTATCCCCCACCCTCCTCCTGTGTTGGTCAGTGCCTCATCTCCCCTCAAGTGGGAAGTCACCTGACCTGCCTTTTCATATCGAGGCATTACCAGGTTCACCTTAGACATCTCTTCATCTGCCACCACAGTCAGGGCAGATGACTAAAGCCCTTACCACCTGATGCCATCACCACCTTGTGTTCCACCTTCCCTATGATGCCCATCTCTGGCCTACTCCAGATCCCACTAACCTGTTTTGAAGATCTCGTAGCGTAGGGAGAAACCTGCCCCCTGCCGGGCATAGTCTGATGTGAACTTGATGTATAACATGGAGCCAGAGGAGATGATGGTGGGCGGAGCGATGTTCCCACAGTGTTTGCCCAGGAGGTCAGCTGACTCACTGTCCCCATCCCGAATCTCAATGAAGTCATACCTAGGTGGGGACAGCAAAAAAGGACACCGATGAAAAGAAGATCATTCTGAAGGTCTGGGAAGGACCATTATCCTCTTTGGGCTCTCCCCATTCCTTTAGAGACTTTCAGGTGTTGCGGCGTGATCAACAAAGGGCACTGTCCTTGCTTTGGTACCCAGGCAAACACAGACACAGGAAGTTGCTTTGTTCAAGCTACAGTGAATGAGTGCATGGGTGGGAGAGGCCTTATCTCTTGTTCACATAAGAGTAATTGCATCATTCTCTCAGGATCTCAAAGCAAGCATTGTGTTTTTCCTTGGGTGGCAGTAGCGTATACTTTTTATTTCCATCGTGACCTCTCTAAATCTTTGTCTCTCCTGAACTCTGTCGTGGCAAGTTACTACAATGCTTTGAGCCCGAGTGTCTTCAAATGTAACAGGAGGAGAAAAATATCGGCTCCAGCATACTGGAAAGAAGATGGGTTGAAAAATTACATGTCAGGGACCGGCACCCTGGGGATGCTTCATAGGTGTTTGTTCTCCTGTCCCCTGCCCAGTTTTAGTTTTCTCCTGGGTCACCCCCTCTCGTTCTTAATTGGCAGTGCCCCATCTGCAGGCCACCTCCTTCCCTGAGATTGTGCCCACAAAGTTCCTGTCAGCGCTATCTAGTCAACATGTTTTCAACAGGGTTTGGCGCTAAGTCAGATAAGGCAATCAAAACTTCCCCCAAAGCCTGGCGACTCCCTGGGGACTGTGTCTGTGTGCCCACAATTAGTAGCCTTCTAAGAGGCATGGCTGGCTGGTCTCCCCCAAGCTGTGGCCTGTGCTCCTTTCAAACTGAGTCAGATGGGCCTGGCACGGGGTGGGCCGTCGATGTCTCACGGTCTTCCGTGGCCAGGATCGTAGACTGATCCACACAGAAAGTGCCCCCTTTGTCTCGACAGGCACGTTTTCCACAGTGATCCCCAACGATCCCCATACTTGTCTGCACTACTTCTAAGCTTCCAGTTACTTCTTAAATCACACAGCACAAGTGGGAAACTTCTTCCCCGACAATCCCCAAAAACCATCTCCCTGTTTCACCTCCCTCTGTTTATTTTGCATCAACCTGTAAAAACAACACAGAAGCCATTTCTTCCTTGTGGGTAAGGAAAGGGGTTGACAATGTAGCCCTCCCTGGGATGTGGCCTCCAGCTCCTGTCACAGAAGTCTGTGGGAGCTGGCTGCCTGCACAAGTGGTTGGAGTGAGTTAGAGAGGCCTGAGGCTTACTTCAGCCTCCGGGAGCCGTATTTCAGATTGCTCAGCCATTTCTGAATAAATAGGCTTGTAAAGGAAGAATAAGGAGTGTGTTACCGGGAGCAGTTTATCCTGAGGCCCCAGAGGGATGGACTCCTGCAACCAAGAGCCTGGCCGGTGCTGGATCCCTCCAGAGAGGTGGAGATGGGGAGAGAGAGGCTTCCACCAGAGCTCTGGTGAGAGAGCCAGATTCGGAAGGCCCCAGGGTGGGGTGGGGCGGAGGATCTGCTCAAATCTGAGATTTTTCAGTGTGGGAGATAGTACTGACTTTGAAAGCAAGCTTCCTCAGTTCCAAAACAAAAGCGAAAAGACACTTGTTTGTTCTTAGGGGAAATTCCCCATCCTGTGTGGAAAACCCCTCCTTGCCGGTCCACTCCGAGTGGAACACTGCCTAGCGGACATAGTTGAGCAATGGTGCATCCAGCAGTGTGCACACAAGTCAGGCAGCCCTTCCTCACTCATCATGAGTTCCTCTCCGGGTGTAAGATCCCAGACCTGGAGATAGACAGCTGGGGTCGGATTCCACGTCTTAGCTGGAGGCCAACATTACAGTTCTTTAATAAGCCAACAATTTGTAAACTACAGCTACAGCCACTAAAAACTTCTTTTCCTTTCTTTTTTTTTTTTTTTTACATTTTTTTAAATAGTTTATTTTTATTTTATATGCATTGGTGTTTTGTCTGTGTGTATGTCTGTGTGAGGGTCCCCTGGAAGTGGAGTTACAGACAGTTGTGAGTTGCCATATGGGTGCTAGAAATTGAACCCAGGTCCTTTGGAAAAGCAGTCAGTACTCTAAACCACTAAACTGTCTCTCCAGCCCCCAAAACTTCCTTTTCAAAGCAGAAGAACAGAGAAAGATTAAGCCTTGAATCTTTCTGAGCCACAGAAAATCGGGGAAATAGGGCTGAGGAGATGGCTTAGAGAGCAGAGTGCTTGTTGTGTGAGCATGAGGCCCTGACTTCGAGCCTCATAAACCAGGTAAGTCTGGATACAGCAGAGTACACCTGTAAACCCATTGCCCCTATTGTGAGACCAGAGGTAGAGGTAGGAGGTGCCCTGAAAGCTGGCAGGCCAGCTAGACCCTGTCTCAAATAAGGGGGAAGAGGCAAGGACTCATACCCAAGATTGTCCTCTGCCTTCACACTCACTGTGGGCATTAGCACGCACGTGCATACACATACACACACACACCCCAAATGAATACTTTTAAAATGAATGATGTAACAATAAAAGACAGATATTAGGAGCCTTCTCCTTCAGTTGTGAGCTTTCTGTGACTGAACCTACCCTGCATAAAGAATTACTACATTGTCCGGTCCTCAGTTTGTGCTTAAGAAAGCTAACTGGTTTGTCAAATTCTCACACCCATTTCAGAGGTAAAGAGGTTGAGGCATGTATGTAGATGAGGCTTATCTGAAGAGAAAGAGGCCTTGGGGATAGTGGCACAGTGAATGAGGACATGTAAATCGCTTCAAACATTTGGAAGGTACTTTTTTGGCAAAACTCAGTGAAAGTTACTATGTACATAGCCTTTAAACCAGAATCCTTAGGACTTTTTTCTGCCAAGAAAACAATCAGGGTGGTGTACGGATGTATATGCATCGTTGGGAATGTTTTTTTTTTTTTTTTTTTTTTTTTTTTTTTTTTTTTTTTTTGGTTTTTCGAGACAGGGTTTCTCTGTGTAGCTTTGCGCCTGTCCTGGAACTCACTTGGTAGCCCAGGCTGGCCTCGAACTCACAGAGATCCGCCTGGCTCTGCCTCCCGAGTGCTGGGATTAAAGGCGTGCGCCACCACCGCCCGGCGGGAATGTTTTTTAAAAAGCATATGAAAAGTGAGAAGATGCTCCCTTTATAGATAGCATCATGTTGAAAAATCCAACCAGACAGGGAGAGTAAATCAATTCTGGTATATTTATAAAATGAAATATTCAGTTGCTACAAAAAATAGTGTGGCAGGTCTGGGCTTTTTTTTTTTTTTTTTTTTTTTTTTTTTTTTTTTTACTTTATAGGAAAAAAGTGCATGATATACTATTAGTGCAGAAAGAAGAGATTTTTAAAGTCCATTTTCAAATGTACACATTATTTCCTCACGTAAGTATTCAGAAAACATTTGAAAAACTACATCTAAAATACTAGCAGAGAAATATCATCATTGTTCCCTTCTGCTATCTGAATTATTATAAGTTCACATTTCTTTAATAAGGTAAGGCTCATGGAAATAAAGCTGCATTCCTTAAGTTCTTAAAGCAGAAACGTTGAGAAAAACAAGCCCTAATGGTTTAGCAGGGATGGACATAGTGGAACTTGCCAAAAACCCCGGCACTCGGGGGCTGAAGCAGGAGGATCAGAGTTCAAGGTCAATGTGGGCTATGTAATAGTCTGTCTCAAAAACCCAAACAAGCAGAAAACAAAATTAGCAGATGCAGGTATGGATTCTTTTCCAATATCACTTTATCATCCATCTCACAGAGCCGGAGTGTGCCGAATGAGGGCCACAGGAGACATGGCATGCCAAAACCCCAAGAATAGTGTTTCAGATATCATACTCAATAAATAATATTAAAAAAACAACACCCAAATCTGGTTTTGCGTTGGTGATTTTTCTACAAAGGACAGAGAGGCCCTGCTACCCTACTGGCTAGTCCTCAGAAGTGGGCGGGTTTTGTCAGGTTGCCTAATCACCCTTGGAGTCATTTAGAGGATTGACAGCATCAGCCAGGAGGCAGGGCTACCAACAAATGCCATTGCTCAGAGCTTGTCTCAATTGGCTCAGTGACTAGCCCGCCCCCAGACCTTTTTTTTTTTTTTCTTTTTGTAAAATGGCCAGCAACAAACCCGTGTTTACTTTATCTGCACACATACACACCTACAGTGAAGGCCATACAATTTGAACAAAGGTCCCTCTAAGCCAGTGAGTGACCAATTCTCTCTGTGTGTGCTTGTTAGTTAAGGGGACCCCCACCATCACCACCACCATGAATCTCTTTGTGAAGCATAACCAGCCCTTCCTTCAACTTCTAGGAAACTGGATTTTTCTACCAAGTGTGTATGGCGGAGACAGGACCAAGTGACCAGTTGGCAAGCAAGTTCCTTCTCTCTCCAGGGTCCTGGCTGCACCCTGTGGACAAATCCCACTTAACCATGTGGCCTTCTGGCTGGGCTTTTGCTATAAAGGGCACACTCCAAGTGACACGCTGACTTCATCCAGAATGTCTCATTTACCTCCCGTGTGACAGACTCATGTGGGGAAATTTTTTATTATTAGGGATTTTCTGCAGCTGGAGCAATCTCCTTAGAAATTTCAATGTTGTCAGGTTCATTTGCGAAGGGCTCCGAGGAGGAGCCTCAGGAAGTTTGTGGCTTTGGAATAAATACAGGCTTTGCGTGCAGCCTTGAATCTCCAGTGTTTGTTTGATCAAGAAATCTGGGGTGCGGACTCGAGCTTCACCCCAAGGACAGTGAAACGGGATGACTTGAAAGCTGCCCTCTCCCCGAGCCTATTCCTGCCTCCCAGAAGCCAACGCGAAGCAGCTAACAGACATATTAACTACAGTGTTTGCATTTCATTATTCATAATCTCTCTCAAATGAAAAAATTCCTTTCGAAGCTTTAACACTACCTCTTATTATTTTGGTTATTTATTTTCCCCCCTGAGCCAAAGTAGCCATCTCTAGCTCACGCTTGTTCTCTCTCTGAAATGGTCCCTGAGTACTTTCTTGACTGTTG